GATTGTCCGATTCGATCTCGACCTTCCAGCCCTGTCGCTCGGCGTAGCGGGCGTACATGCGGAACAGGTCGCCAGCGAAGATCGCCGCCTCGTCGCCACCGGTACCAGCGCGTACTTCCAGGAACAGGTTGCCTTCATCGCGCGGGTCGCGTGGCACCAGCAGCAGCGCCAGTTCCTGCTCCAGTTCCTGCAGGCGGGTTTGCGCGGCAGCAATTTCCTCGTCGGCCAGCTCGCGCAGGTCCGGGTCCGCACGCATGCTTTCGGCCGCAGCCAGGTCGGCCTTGGCGCGTGCTTCATCGGCCAGTGCGGTGGCGATCGGTTCGAGCTGGGAAAACTCGCGCGAAAGATCGCGGAAGCGCGCGTTGTTGGCGACCACCTCCGGTTCGGCGAGCAGACGTTCCAGTTCTTCGCGGCGCTCGGCCAGCGCTTCCAACTTACGGCGCAGGGTCGGCGTCATCGGTTCTCACAGGTGGGTGGCGGTAACCCGGCGTGGCCGGGAACAGGCGCGCGGCGGCACGGGTCAGGTCGGCATCGCCGCTGAGTGCGGCCGCGCGCAGGGCGGCGGTCGGCGGGTGCAGCAGGCGGTTGGTCAATCCGTGGGCAAGCAGTTCCAGCACGTCGTCGGCCGGCTTGCCGTTGGCCAGCTGCTGGCGCGCGCGTTCCAGCAGTTCGGCACGGGTGGCCTCGCCGAAGGCGCGCAGCTGCCGCAGCGGTGCTTGGTGGGCACTGGCCTGCAGGGTTTCGACGAAACGCGAGACCTGCAGGTCGATGATCGTCTCGGCTTCGGCGGCAGCCTCGCGGCGGCTGCGGCGGTTGTCTTCCACCGCGCGCTCGAGATCGTCCACGGTGTACAGGAACGCATCCTTGAGCGTGGCAACGTCGGCCTCGATGTCGCGCGGCACGGCCAGGTCGAACAGCAGCATGGGCTTGTGCCGGCGTGCGCGCAGGGCGTTGGCCACCGCGGCACGGTGGATCACCGGTTCGCGGGCGGCGGTGGCCGAGAACACCACATCGGCCTCGGCCAGGTGGCGCTCCAGTTCGGTCAGCGGCAGCGCCACGCCGCCATGGCGGCTGGCCAGTTCCTGCGCATGGGCCAGCGTCCGGTTGGCGATCAGCAGACGCCGCACCTTGCCTTCGCTGAGGTGGCGCGCGGCCAGTTCGATGGTCTCGCCGGCACCGACCAGCAGCACGGTGGAATCGTCCAGGCGGGCAAATGCGTTCTGTGCCAGGCGTACCGCTGCCGAGGCCACCGATACCGGGTTGGCGCCGACCTGGGTATCGGTACGCGCGCGCTTGGCCACCGAGAACGTCTGCTGGAACAGCCGGTCCAGGCGCTGGCCGAGCAGACCGTGGTCGCGCGCGGTCGACCAGGCATCCTTCACCTGGCCCAGGATCTGCGGTTCGCCCAGCACCATCGAATCCAGCCCCGTCGCCACCCGGAACAGGTGGCGCACGGCATCGGCATCGGCGTGCTGGTACAGATAGCCCTGCAGGTCGCCGGCCTGGGCGTGCAGCCACTGGTCCAGTGCCTGCGCGGACTCGGCCACGGCATACAGCTCGGTGCGGTTGCAGGTGGACAGCAGTACCGCCTCGGCGATCTGCGGGGTATCGCGCAGCGAACCGAGCGCGCGCGGCAACGCATCACCGGCGAAGGCTGCGCGTTCGCGCAGTTCCACCGGTGCGGTCTGGTGATTCAGTCCGAGCACCCACAGGGTCATTGTTCAGTTGCTTGCGATAAGCTGCTGGCCATTGGACGACATTTTAAGGCCCCGATGCCGACGATGCCCGCATTGATTCGCATCCCCAGTGTTCTGCTGCTGACTCTGGCCTGTGCCCAGGCCCTGGCGGCGGTGCCCGCCAAGGCACCTGCGCGGCCCGCGGTGACTGAGGAACTGGCGCTGGAGCCGGTCCTGGCTGGGGAGTTCGCCCTGCAGGCAGGCAAGCTGGCCGAGGCCGCGCGCTGGTATCTGCAGGCCGCCCAGCAGACCGACGGCGACGCCGGCCTGGCCGAGCGGGCGACCCGCATCGCCATGCTTGCCAACGAGGATGATGCCGCGGCCAAGGGCCTGGCCCTGTGGCAGCAGCGTGCGCCGCGCTCATTGGCGATGCGCAGCGCCGCCGGTGCGCTGGCCATGCGCCAGGGCGATGTGAAGGCTGCGCGTAGCGAGCTTCAGGCCTTGTTGCAGGACCCGGGCGATGAGGGCTGGAAGTTCGCCCTGGGCGCCCTGATCGGCGGTGGCCGCGATCCGGCCGTGCCGGCCCAGGTGCTGGGCGAACTGGTCGATGCCAACGCCATTCCCCAGAAGATCGAGGCCTGGCAGGAGTTTGGACGCCTGGCGTTGCGCATGGAAAAGCCCGAGCTGGCACGGCGCATGATCGATGAGGTGGTCAAGCGCTTCCCCGAAGAACCGCGGGTTGCCTTGCTGCGCGCCAGCCAGCTGCAGCAGGCCGGGCAGACCGACCAGGCGCTGTCGCTGCTGCGTGGGGTGGAACCGAAGACCCGTCAGGATCCGGAACTGCGCAATGCCGTGGCCATCGCCTATGACAGCCTCGGCCAGCCGGCAGCGGCCGAGCGCGTGCTGGCAGTCGGTCCGCAGAATGTGCAGACGTGGGGTATGCGCGCTTCGCTGCTGGCCAAGCAGGGCGACAAGGCCGCGCTGTCCAATCTGTACAACGAACTGTCGCGGCAGGCGGCCAAGCCGGATCCGGCGCAGCGCTTGCTGCTGGGCAAGATCGCCGAGTACCTCAAGCGCTACCCGGAGGCGGTCAACTGGTATCACAGCGTGCCTGGCGGCGATGAGCTGAATGAAGCGCGCCTGCGCGCGGCCAATGCACAGGGTCTGGCGGGCCGGCAGTCGCTGGCGCTGGATGAAGTGCATGCGATCCAGTCCGATGCCGGGGTGGATGATGATGTGCGGCGCGATGCGTATCTGCTGGAAGCCGAGCTGCGCCAGCGCGCCGACGACCTTCCCGGCGAGATCGATGCACTGGCCCGTGGCCTGGCTGCGTATCCGGACGAGAACGGCCTGTTGTATGCCCGTGCGTTGGCCTGGGAGCGCCGCGACGACATCGCCCGCGCCGAGGCCGACCTGCGCAAGATCCTGGTGACCGAGCCGGAGAACGTGCCGGCACTGAACGCCTTGGGCTACACCCTGGCCGACCGGACCGGCCGTTACCAGGAAGCGCTTGAGCTGATCGACCGCGCCCGCGTGGCCGAGCCTGACAACGCGGCCATCGTCGACAGCTATGGTTGGGTGCTGTATCGGCTGGGGCGCAACGCCGACGCGCTGGTGCAGCTGCGCCGCGCCTGGACGCTGGCCAAGGACCCGGAAATCGCCGCCCACGTGGGCGAGGTGCTGTGGGTGCTGGGCAAGCACGATGAAGCCCGTCACTTCTTCGAGGAAGCGGCCCGGCTCGACCCTGAAAACCGCGCGCTGCTGCGCGCCCGCGAGAAATTCAACCCATGAGTGTTTCCACGATCCGGCCACTGCTGCTGATGGCCGTGACCCTGGCCCTGAGTGCCTGCACCACCGTTGGCCGGCAGAAGACGCCGGCGCCTGCCGTGGTCACCACCGTTTCCGCCGAAGCGGCTGCCGCCGAGGCTGCGCGCGTGGATGCGCTGCGATCGGCAGCGGACTGGAATTTCCAGGGCCGGGTGGCGGTCAGCAAGGGCAAGGACGGTGGCAGCGGCCGCATCGACTGGAAACAGGAAGGCCAGCGCTATGTCGTTGAACTGAGTGCGCCGGTGACCCGCCAGAGCTGGAAGTTGAGCGGTGATACCCATCATGAAGCCGGGCGCCTGGAAGGGCTGGCCGGTGGTCCGCGAGACGGTGAAGACGCGCAGGCGCTGCTGCTGGAGGCCACCGGCTGGGATATTCCGGTCAATCAGCTGCCGGACTGGGTACGTGGACTGGTCGCTGGCGACAGCGCGGGGCCGGGAAAGATCGATCGTGATGCTGATGGCCGTCCGCGGCGGATGCAGCAGATGGGCTGGGTGATCCAGTATCTGGACTGGTATCCGGCCGAGGCCGGGCGTCCGGCCCTGCCGCGCAGGGTCGAAGCGGTCAATGGCGACGCCAAGGTGCGCCTGCTGGTCGACCAATGGGGCCAGGGCGCGCCATGAACGCGCGGGTGGATGACGCGGGCTGGTCCTGGTGGCCGGCCCCGGCCAAGCTGAACCTGTTCCTGCACATCACCGGCCGCCGGACCGACGGCTACCACGAGCTGCAGACCGTGTTCCGCCTGCTCGACTGGGGCGACCGGATCGGCCTGCGCCTGCGTGAAGACGGTCAGGTGCGACGGCAGGGCGATGGCCTGGCCGGCGTCGCCGAGGCGGACGATCTGGCCGTTCGCGCGGCGTGGATGCTCAAAGAAGCGGCGAATGTCGAGCAGGGTGTCGACATCATCGTCGAAAAACACATTCCTGCGGGCGGTGGGTTTGGTGGCGGTTCGTCCGACGCGGCCACGGTGCTGGTGGTATTGAACCGGCTCTGGGGCGGCGGGCTGGACGAAGAAGCGCTGGCTGCGCTGGGGTTGCGTCTCGGCGCGGACGTGCCGGTGTTCGTGCGTGGCCACAACGCCTGGGCCGAAGGGGTGGGCGAGCGGCTGCAGCCGATCACCCTGCCGCAGGCCTGGTATGTGGTGGTCGAACCGGGCGTTCATGTGCCGACGCCCCTGCTGTTCGCTGATCCGGATTTGACGCGCGACAGTCCACAGGCGAAAATAGAGGACTTCGCTTCCGGCTTGCTGGTCGGGAACGTGTTCGAACCGGTGCTGCGCCGCCGTGAGCCTGCCGTCGAGGCGGTGCTTGCCGCGTTGAGCGACATCGGCACGGCACGTCTGACCGGTTCGGGAAGTGGTTGTTTCGTCGAGTTCGATTCGCAGGCTGCCGCCGAGCAGGGACGAGCGAAGTTGTCGAAGGAGTTGCGGGCAAGGGTGGCTGCGGGCGTTGCACGTTCGCCACTGCTGGATGCACTCGAGCAACACTGATTCATCAATGCAGGGGCGTCGCCAAGAGGCCCAAGGCACCAGGTTTTGATCCTGGCATTCGGAGGTTCGAATCCTCCCGCCCCTGCCAATGCGGCTGCCTCCGCGCCTTCCAGCGCATCATCTGCGCGGGACGTGGGAACAGCCGCGGTGTTGTCAGCAGCAGGGGCCGCAGTGGTCCTTGCCGCCGCCGGATCCCCGCCACTCGTCCCCGCCCGAGACAATCATGATGCAAGAGTCCCCGAACCTGCTGGTCTTTTCCGGCAACGCCAACAAACGTCTGGCGCAGAACATCTGCAAGGAACTGGGAGTCCGCCCGGGCAAGGCGCTTGTCTCGCACTTCTCCGATGGTGAAGTGCAGGTGGAAATCGAAGAGAACGTCCGCAAGCAGGACGTGTTCGTGATCCAGCCGACCTCGGCGCCGAGCGCGGAAAACCTGATGGAACTGCTGGTGCTGATCGACGCGCTCAAGCGCGCATCGGTGGCCAGCGTGACCGCCGTGGTGCCGTACTTCGGCTACTCGCGCCAGGATCGCCGCATGCGTTCCTCGCGCGTGCCGATCACCGCCAAGCTGGCGGCGAAGATGTTCAGCACCGCCGGCGCTGATCGTGTGCTGACCGTCGACCTGCACGCCGACCAGATCCAGGGTTTCTTCGATATTCCGGTCGACAATGTGTATGCCTCTCCGCTGCTGCTGGCCGACATCTGGCGCGCCTACGGCACCGAGAACCTGATCGTGGTGTCGCCGGACGTGGGCGGCGTGGTCCGCGCCCGTGCGGTGGCCAAGCGCCTGGATGACGCCGATCTGGCGATCATCGACAAGCGCCGTCCGCGCGCCAACGTCTCCACCGTGATGAACATCATCGGTGACGTCGAAGGCAAGACCTGCGTGATGGTCGATGACATCGTCGACACCGCCGGCACCCTGTGCGCCGCTGCCGCTGCCCTGAAGGCGCGCGGTGCGCTCAAGGTCGCCGCCTACTGCACCCACGCGGTGCTGTCGGGCCCGGCGGTGGACAACATCACCAATTCCCAGCTCGATGAGCTGGTGGTGACCGACACCATCCCGCTGAAGGACGCCGCGCGGGTGTGCAGCAAGATCCGCCAGCTGAGCGTGGCGGAAATGCTGGCCGAAACGATGCGCCGCATCGCCTTCGGCGAGTCGGTCAGCTCGCTGTACGTCGATTGATTTTTTCGTCCCCGCCGGCAACGGCAGGGACACACTGGGCACTTCTGGTCGCGGAAGTGCCTTCAACCGCCAAGCCGCAAGGCAAGGCAACAACCGAGTAGTCGAAAATGTCGAAGACCCATGAAATCAAGGTCACCAAGCGTGAACTGCAGCGTAAGGGTGCGAGCCGCCGCCTGCGTACCGCTGGTGTGATCCCGGCGATCGTGTACGGCGGCAACGCCGAACCGGTCGCCATCAGCCTGGACCACAACGAAATCTGGCTGGCCCAGCAGAACGAGTGGTTCTATGCCTCGATCCTGGACCTGAACCTGGACGGCCAGGTGCAGAAGGTGCTGCTGCGTGACATGCAGCGCCATCCGTTCAAGCAGCTGATCATGCACCTGGACTTCCTGCGCGTGAACGAGAACGAGAAGCTGACCGCTTCGGTTCCGCTGCACTTCATCAACGAAGATACCTCGCCGGCTGGCAAGGCTGCCGACGTCGTGGTCGCCCACGAACTGAAGGAAGTGGCCATCAGCTGCCTGCCGAAGGACCTGCCGGAGTCGATCGAAGTCGACCTGGGCGAGCTGAAGGCTGGCGACGTTGTGTACCTGTCGGACATCAAGCTGCCGAAGGGCGTGGAAATCCCGGCGCTGGCGCTGGGCAAGGACCACGACGACGCGATCGTCACTGCCAAGCACGGCAAGCAGGACGCTGCCGACGCTGAAGAAGCAGCGGCCGAGTAATACCCCGCGGCGCCTGTCCTTCGGGGCAGGCGCCGTATCTGGATGGAACGATGGCAGGATTGCGACTGATCGTCGGTCTGGGCAACCCCGGATCGGAGCACGCCCGGACCCGGCACAATGCCGGGTTTCATTTCGTTGAGGCCCTGGCCGAAAAGGCCGGTGCACGCTGGAACGTGGACAGCAAGTTGTTTGGCGAGACCGCCAAGGTCGATATCGCTGGGCAGACGGTGTGGCTGCTCAAGCCCGCCACCTTCATGAACCTCAGCGGCAAGTCGGTCACCGCCGCGCAGCGGTTCTGGAAGATCGAGCCGGAGGAAACCCTGCTGGCCCACGACGAACTGGATCTGGCGCCCGGCGTGGCGCGGTTGAAATTCGACGGTGGCCACGGTGGACAGAATGGCCTGCGTGACACCATCCGGCTGCTCGGCCATGGCAAGTTCCATCGCCTGCGCGTGGGCATCGGCCATCCCGGCCACAAGGACCGCGTGGTGGGCTGGGTGCTGGGACGCCCCTCCAAGGACGATGAAGTACTGATCTCGCGCGCCATCGACGATGCGATCGACGTGCTGCCGTTGGCAGTGCAGGGCGATTTCAGCGAAGCGATGAAGCGGCTGCACACCCCGAAATAACCCGCTTTGGGTAGGTGCCAACCTTGGTTGGCACAGATGTTGATCGGCAACACCGAGATGGATTGGCCAAGCGGCGCGCGCGCTGTTTCACCAATCACTTTCACCCCAGAGAGCTGTCACCCATGGGTATCAAATGCGGCATCGTCGGCCTGCCCAACGTCGGCAAATCGACCCTGTTCAACGCGCTGACCAAGGCGGGCATCGCCGCGGCGAACTTCCCGTTCTGCACCATCGAACCGAACGTCGGCATCGTGCCGGTGCCGGATCCGCGCCTGAATGAACTGGCAGCGATCATCAACCCGCAGAAGGTCATCCCGACCGCGGTCGAGTTCGTCGACATCGCTGGCCTGGTGGCCGGTGCCGCCAGCGGCGAAGGCCTGGGCAACAAGTTCCTGGCCCACATCCGCGAAGTGGACGCGATCACCCACGTGGTGCGCTGCTTCGAGAACGCTGACGTCATCCACGTCAACAACAAGGTCGACCCGATCTCGGACATCGACACCATCGATACCGAACTGGCTTTGGCCGACCTGGACAGCGTCGAGAAGGCACTGAACCGCGCCGAGCGTGCGGCGAAGGGTGGCGACAAGGACGCAGCGGCACGCAAGCCGGTGCTGGCCAAGCTGCAGGCCGCGCTGGCCGACGGCAAGGCCGGTCGTTCGGCAGATCTGGACGAGGAAGAGAAGGCGCTGGTGCGCGATCTGTTCCTGCTGACCCTGAAGCCGGTGATGTACATCGCCAACGTGCTGGAAGACGGTTTCGAGAACAACCCGCACCTGGATGCGGTGCGCGCCCGTGCCGCCGAAGAAGGTGCACAGGTGGTGCCGGTGTCGGCAGCGATCGAAGAAGAGCTGTCGCAGCTGGACGACGAAGACCGCGATACCTTCCTGGCCGACCTCGGCCTGACCGAGCCGGGCCTGAACCGCGTGATCAACGCGGCCTACAGCCTGCTCGGCCTGCAGACCTACTTCACCGCAGGCGTGAAGGAAGTCCGCGCGTGGACCGTGCGCAAGGGCGCCACCGCGCCGCAGGCTGCCGCAGTCATCCACACCGACTTCGAGAAAGGCTTCATCCGCGCCGAAACCATCGCGTATGACGATTTCATCAAGTACAAGGGCGAAGCCGGCGCCAAGGAAGCGGGTCGCCTGCGCCTGGAAGGCAAGGAATACCGCGTGCAGGAAGGTGACATCCTGCATTTCCGCTTCAACGTCTGATCGACGACGCAGCGCAGTGATTGCCCACAGGACCCCGCAATGCGGGGTCTTGTTGTATCGGCGCCTGTCATGACGGGTACACGACGACAGTGCCATTCCGCGTTTCCGCTGCGGAAGCACCAGCCCGGTGTTGGAGGTGGCAGTGGACAGAAAATCACCACGCGTTGAAACGCTTGGCCTGCATGGCTCGCGGTGACTTGTCCACACCAAACCCCCACGGCTTTCCACGTCGCGTGTGGAAAACCGATGAGGCGCCTGGACAAAAAACAGCCACTCCTTGAAATGCTTGAGGCATAACGTTCAAGGCGGGTTGTCCACATCAAGTCCGCATCGCTTTCCACCTGCTGTGTGGAAAACACGCATCTGCCCGCATCCTGGACAGCTTGGACAAAAAACAGCCAGCGTCGATAACGCTTGTCGTGCGTGGCTTACGACCACTTGTCCACATCCAACCCCCATCGATCTCCACGCGCGGTGTGGAAAACAACAAGGGGTCCGACGAAGCATCGCCGGACCCCTTGATGGGCTCGCCAGCAGTACGTCTTACCAGCGGTAAGAGACGCCCAGCTGACCGCTGGTATCGCGGAAGCCCATGCCGCCGGTCTGCCGGCTGATCTCGCCCCAGCCGCGCCAGCCGCCCGACAGATTCACCTGCACGCCGGCCTTGGCTTCGTAGATGTCACGCGGCAACTGCCGGCGCAGGCGTTCGCCGTCCACGGCGATGGCTGCGTCGTTGCCACCGGACCACCAGTTCACCGCGACGAACGGCTGTACCTGCCCTTGGCGCTGCGTGAGCGAACGCGTGTACAGGCGCAGGCCCACACGCGTGGTGGTGCTGTCCTTGTCGCGCCCTTCGATCACCGTGCCATTGGTTTCGACCACGCGGTCGGCATCGTAGCGGCTGTGGATCACCTGCAGCTGTGGCTCCAGGTAGACACCGCGCTGCGCTGTGCGCTGCACGGGCAGCACATAGCCTGCCTCGGCCGAACCGGTCCAGCTGTGCGAGCGATAGTGCTCCTTCTGCAGCCCTTCGCCCTGCACGCTGTTGCGGAACCGCCCGTACTGCAACCAGCCGTCCACATACGCACCACTGTCCATCCGCGCGTCCTGCAGCCAGGTGGCATACAGGCCCAGGCTGGTGCCGTTGACCACACCGCGAGCGGTGTAACCGGTCACCTGCGAACGACTGTCGTTGCGTGCCCGGCCCTGGCCGGCCATCACACCTGCCTGCAGTTGGCCACCGGGATTGGCTTCGAAGCGGCGACCGACACCCAGCAGCACGCTGTTGAGCTGGCTGTCCACATCCACCTGGCGGCCGCGGCTGCCGGGCT